TTGAACAAAAAGGCAATAATAGGAAAGTTGAAAAGAATACATTTTGACTCATGCAATATTCCATCACAAAAACTACAGTTTTTCTGTCCATTTATGTCAAAGCATAATGAAACCTATTCTCATTTATAGTGTATTTATTGATGAAGAATGTGCAGGCAAGAATTTAATGGAGCATTTCCAAAAGCTTTACAAATCCCAGCAAAATACATGTATGTACAGTATATGTATTTATTTACAGTATATGTATTTATTTAAAGTATTTGACAGATATAAACACTGTATTAATAATTATGTACATTCAAACAGTATAAAGACTATTTGAAGAATATTAAAAACCACAACTGTACAGATTTGGTATTAAATGTTCTTCAACTTTTTATTCACATAATTTGCGCTTTTATTTGAATATTCAAAATTTTTCATTATTTTGAAAATGGTTTTTTAAATATTTAAACTATTATTGGTCCATCAGAGTTTCCCTAGATAACATATTTTATTTATTTTGAAATGTGCACTGTTATTTGTCCCTTGGAGTCTCCATATACATTTTCCACCACAAAACCATTGCAGTTAAAGTCACTCACTGAGAGACTGGTGCTCTTAGAGGTGGCGTGGAAGAGGTAGCCCTGAATGGAGCGGCGTTGAGTAGAAGTTGTACCAAAACGTTGCGTCACTGGTGCGTTCCCAACATTCCTGAATGAATGTGTGGTAGTATTTCTGCACTTCATTCAAAATGTGAAGTTCCTAATCCTGGTTATATTCCTCATTTCCTGGTCTGTGAATTATGTTGGCAGGGCGGGGCGATGAATCTCGTCATGCTCCGGCATCAGCATTTTCGCGTGTTTGCTATTGTCATGCTCAGTTCTTCTCCTTGATCGGTCTTTGAAAGTTCATACCGGCACGGAAGGATTAAAGTGCAGTGTCATGCAGGAATTTCTTACTGAAGGAATTTGTGATTGTATCCATGAGAATTGTTGCATGGAAGCCTCTTCGAATTAAATTGAAATAGTGCACTCCGTACAACAATTCTTCTCGTTCTCAACAGACTTGAATGGTATGTGCAATGATGTCGGTATGCTGCGTTAAGGCTCTCTTATTGGCCTGAGTGAAGTTAATCCGTAATTTATTTGTGGTACGAAAGAAGTGATGATCCCAGGAAATATGGAAATCGGATGCGGTATTCGAAAGAAGCTCTTGGACGTTTGTATCTTCTGCTTCATTTTGGGAGCGGTGCTATCAACCACAGCCGTAACGGAGGAAATAAGTCCTGGTACCCCAGAAACCCGACAAGTTGGTTCTTTTGACGTGGGTAATCCCCTGAGAAACCCATCACGAAGACCGACTCCTCCGTCCATTTCGCCGTCTGCTCCGAGTCTGGGCAGTGTTCTTGGCAGTGAGTTACATGTCATGATCACGAATTACTGCGCCAAAGGTTTCTGATATCTTTGGATCGTTTTTTTTTTTTTAATCTTTGGGCTTGTTGAAGTCAGTATCAATCGAGGATGTGAATCTCTGAGTATATTCTTTTTTAAGTGACGTGTGTCTCCATTTCATCGCTTGCGTGTTTTGTTAATTTGTCGAGTTCTGAATTTTCCGGGAAATAGTAGTGCGTGTGAGGCACTAGAGCGACTCTGTTAAGGGTTTTCTCGTCTTACGCTCTTGAATTTTCTCGTGTCAGGTCTATGGTCAAGCATCACGACGACCTCGAAAGACCCGAATTGCCGTGGCACGTGTTTCAATGCCCTGGCGGCGTTTTTGTGCGATGAAGTCGACACCAGTCCGAATGCTTGCATGAAGAGCGACGAGCGCTGTTGCGTAGACCGAGCCGCGTTGTCGTCGCCAGATGTCGCTGCCAGTGACGCCTCGTCTTCGCCGCCGCCTCCGTCCACCACGACGCGGCGCCCACAGCAGGCGAACACTAGGATCATCTCTCCGGCTACTACGACTACTACTACGACGACGGTATCCACGACTACAAGTACTTCGACGACTACTACCCCAGTTCCGACGACTGCGAAGAAAACGACGACGTTGACGACTACAAGGCCAAAATCTGCGACTACGCGGCGTCAAGCTGTCACTGCCAAAAAGCCAAGTACTACGAAACGGCCGACGCTTACTACGCCAAAGAAAACGACTACTAGTGCTAAAACTACCACCACAACGACTTCCACGACGACGACGGGTGTGTAGTGAAGGACCCTTGGGATTTATTCATGTCCAATTTGTACCACTTCAAGGGGGCAGCGAAATGAGTTTGGGAAAGAAGCATTTTTCTTGAGGGACACAAAGAAGAGTAGCAGAAAAATCGTAAATAGTGTTGTTCCTGTGTTGACACAACTCACCGCTCTAGAACTTGCTGCACTCAGAACTCAGCACACCTACTTGCCGCTGTCATAACTTGCTGCAAAACTGACTTGCTGCAGTCATTTCTTGCTGCACAGACAACCTGCCGCTGCAATAACTTGCCAGAATAACTAAGGCAAGTAAAGTTGCTGCACATGCAACTCACCACTGCAATAACTTGCCATGCACACATGAATAATGCCCATCTTGCATGATTAAATGTAATCTTTTAAAGGAATTCAATTTGGAAATTAATCAATGCATTTAAAAAGGAAGAAGCATACCAAATAACTGTATATGCTGCAGTAAAAAAGGAAAAGAACCCTATGAATTAAAAGAAAAATACAGAAACATTTCCAAGAATTTTCAAAGTTTGTTGATTTCAC